AAGTCTAATAAATTCTGGCAATGTTGTACAGCTTTTTAAAAGCAGGAATGGTTTTTTTTTTTTTTTTGGTCCTGAGAAAGTCTTTGTAGAGTCGGTTATAGCACTGGACTAGTAGCACATAGAAACCCTGGTTTGGGGAACATGGTTCTTTCTCCTGTCTGGATTTGCCGGTGAAGGGGCGAAGTATGGTCCTGAACAAAATGTGCTTTCCAGCCTTGCTCACTGCGTTAGCAAAGCCACTTCCCAGAATGCTTTGCTGTCTGGCTTTCTACTGCCCTGAGTTTGATAGTCTGCATGTTTCTGCGTTGATATTAGATGAATTTACGTCAATATCTCAGTTAATGTTTAGTAGAGGCCAGTTGGCTTTTCATTCTGAATTACTTGAAATTCGCTCTCTGTGAGAACACTGTTTGGCAGTTTGGCAGTTTTTCACATTTCTTTAAATTTTAATTACAACCCATCAGATCTTAAGCCGTTACTTCTGGGTTAGACTCTTGATGAATGTCAAAGCAGGGTGTTTTAATTTAATGGATCCAGAATAACATCTGTTTCTAATATTTTTAAAAGCCAATTTATATGGAAATTTGGTACACAGTCGATACACGGAGACTTGTAAAAATAAAAATAAATATGGAAAATCAAACCACTGTGATATAGTAGGTCTTCTGTTAACAAAGGATTTCACTGATGACTCGGTTCAGCTGCTTCTACCTAACACCCAAAATATCACAGTTTAGAATAAACAAGATAGAGATTTATTTCTCATACTCACAGGATGGAGAGGTAGTTAGCTTAAGGCTGGTGTGGTCCACCATAATAGGGATCCAGTTTCCTTCAGTCTTATTCCTGTGCTCTGCTGGGCATGACTTTTATTCCTAAGGGTCCCTTATGGGCCAAGATGGCTGCAGGAACTCCAGCTAGTACAGTTTTACTCTAGCAAGAACAAGGGAGAGTGGAAGAGGGAAGAACCCTGAGCTTTTTTTTTTTTTTTTTTTTTTTTTCTTTTTTTAAGGACACTTTCTAGAAGTAGTATATAGCACTGGCCAAAAATTCACTGCAGAACTGTATTTAGCAGCAAGGGGAAATAGGAAATGAAATCTTTTTTCCAGATGACCATGTATCCAGCTAAAAAATGAAGAGCTAGGAGCTAGGAATATGGGAAAGGGGAGATCAGACAATGGAGAACGACTATCTCTGCCATGTTGAGCATTTTTTAAGACACGATTTTAATAGACCTTCAGCCTTTTTATGGAGCATCTAGAAAACTCAGCTTGTTCTTCTATGAGTAGATAATTTATGTAGAAGGCCTAACATTGTGTTTGGCTCAAAAAAGATAATCATCAACTACTGTTGATACGTTTTAATTCTAACCCCTAATTGCATCTAATTTCAGAGACTGTGCACCAAGCTGACTTTAATAAGGGAGTTTTTGAACATTGTACCCCAGTCTTTATAGAATAATAACACCAGCCGCTCCCAGAGCCCAGATGTCATTTGTGCTAAGTCTCCAGAACACTCATGTGTTGGCAAGATAGTGTTCTTTGCTTTTCTACATAGAAGATAAATGAACAATTACAAGTGTTTGTTAACTGCTTTTAAGGTAAAGCTATTATCATCACAGGGGAGCCTGGGTGGCTCAGTCAGTTAAGCTTCTGCTTTTGGCTCAGGTCAAGATCCCAGCATTGGGCTCCCTGCTCAGTGGGGAGTCTGCTTCTCCCTCTGCCCCTCCTCCCACTCGTGTTCTGTCCCTCTGTCTCCCTCAAATACATAAAAATCTTCCCCAAAAAACCCCCACAAAACCACCCCACCATTATCTTCACAGAAACTGAAGCTCAGAGAGGTCAATTGGGAAGCAATTTAGAGAACGAGGTGAAAACCAGCATTGCCGCATCGTTTTATTCCAACCAGGATGCTGTTATTTCCACTGGCTATGTCACCTTGGATGGGTTTCTTAATCTTTTTGAATTTGTTGCATTTTCTTGTTTTTGAGGACACTCAGGTAAATTACAGAGCTGGTGACTCGGGCACGTTTTTCCTCAATCCAGGGCTCTGCCAACCTGGTTTTTGGTCATATGCATGTGGAAATTCCTTTGCTCTGCCTGTCTCACAGTGAAAGGCAGAACAGGTGGAGGGGCTAGAGGTCAAAGTCATCAAGTGGCTTTCTGTCGTATAGTCTTCAGCTACACATGTGCCCACACCCCTTAAAAAAGCCCTGACGTCAGACGAGGCAAGAGGTCTCTATATATGGAGTAAGTGTCCTGACTGTCTCATTTCTCTGTCTTCTAAGTTGTGTTCCTCCCCTGTGTTCTATAAGCACAAAGAGGGACTAAGGATACAAAACAGTGCAGATACCTCCTATTCTCTGGAGGGTATAATGGCCTAGAGCAGGGATCCTCCCCAGTGAATCATTTACATGCCAACATCTGTACCTTGTCCACCTGTACCAGCAGCATTGATTCTTTAATATTTGTCTCTACATTGACTTTTTAATTTTTAACATCCTTATTCTGAGCAAACAGCTGTGAAATCCAGCTTTGATTTGATAATTAAATTTCCTTTCAAATACATATTAAATAGAACCATTAAAATTTTTACAAGGTTCACCCGTGTAGCTTCTTACATACTTGCACTGGTTTGGAGATCACATTTTGGGAATCCCAACAGAGTGGAAAGAGCATGGGCCGGGGAACTCTACCCTGCTATTTCCAACTGTGTGATTTTGGAACCGTTATTAGTACTCAACCATAATTTGCTCACTTGAGAGATGTAGATAATATCTACTTTGTCATTTACTCTATGGATTAAGAAGATAGAGCCAAGGAAACAATTACGGTGTTTGGCAGAAAGCGAGCTCTCAGCAAATACTGGGTTATTCTTTCCTGAAGTCTGTTTGGCGAACTCAGGCATGCAAATCTGGAAGTATGAATTCTCAAAAGCAGGACACAAGGCACTTGGTAGAGATGATTATAAGTCCTGTGAGAACTCAGAGCGGGGACAGGCTGAAATTTTCTAGAATGAAGGAGAGAGGGAAACATTTGGATGAGGGAGAGACCTTATTTCTGGCCTCCCCAACTCTCCTTCAATCTCTCAACTCAAAACATGGCTGAAGGACCAGTAGCTTTGGCATCACTTGGGAGCTTGTTAGAACCATGGTGTCTCTGGCTCTCCCCAGAACTACTGACTCAGCACCTACCTGTAAACAAGTTCCCCTCTCTCACCGCCCCCCACCCTCCATGATTTATATGTCTGAGAAACATTGCTCTGGGCACAAATATTCTTTTTTTTTTTTTTTTAAGATTTTATTTATTTATTTGACAGAGATCACAAGTAGGCAGAGAGGCAGGCAGAGAGAGAGGGGGAAGCGGGCTCCCCACTGAGCGGAGAGCACGACGTGGGGCTCGATCTCAGGACTCTGATCATGACCTGAGCTGGAGGCAGAGGCTTTAACCCACTGAGCCACCCAGGCTCCCCCAGGGCACAGATATTCTATCTAAAGTTTCTTCTTTATTTTCTTTCTCTCTCTCTCTTTTTTTAAAATAAGATTTTATTTATTTATTTGACAGAGAGAGACGCACGAGAGAGGGAACATAAGCAGGGGGAGTGTAAGAGGGAGAGGCAGGCCTCCCGCCAAGCAGGGAGATCTGATGTGGGGCTTGATCCCAGGACCTTTGGATCATGACCTGTGCCAAAGGCAGATGCTTAACATCTGAGCCATCCAGGCGCCCCTATAGTTTATTTCTAGTGGGGAGCTAGCTAGTTCTTGCTTTAAGCAGCTCTCTGCACAAAGACCACTAGTATCCCATGGACTATGCCTTTTAGAAAATGTAGATTCTCAGACCTCACATTAACCAGCTGTCTGTCATCTGCATTTTAAGCCAGGATACCACATGATTTTTAGGGCGATTGTTTGACGACTGCTGCAGTAAGTCTTTTTAAACACTTTTTTAAAAAGATTTTTTTAAATTTATTTTTTAAAAATTTTATTTATTTGATAGAGAGATCACAGCTAGACAGAGAGGCGGGGGTGGGGGGGGGGATGCAGGCACCCCGCTGAGCGGAGAGCCAGACGTGGGGCTTGATCCCAGGACCCTGCGATCATGACCCGAGTAGAAGGCAGAGACTGAACCCACTGAGCCACCCAGGCCCCCTGCTGCACTAACTCTTAAATCACAGATAGAAACTGCAGTTGTATTTGCATTTAAACAAAGCTTTGGAGGAAAATAAATACAACCCTAATTGTAGTGATCTTAAGCAGTAAGGGGAGGATCTGAATTCAATCTGTATGTAAAGCCTTCCGTAAGGCTCATTTTCATCAGTCTTGTGTGTACCTGGGACCCCATCGTACACATGACAACAGCCTCTGGGAAGGCGATATCTTAGCTATGTCACGTATAGTTGACCCTTGAACAACACTGGTTTGAATAGCATGGGTCCACTTCTACATAGATTGTTTTCAACCAATAACAGTACTGTAAAGCCTTTTCTCTTCCTTATGATTTTTTTTTTAAGATTTTATTTATTAGAGAGCATGAGAAAGAGCACGAGCAGGGGGAGGGGCAGAAGGAGAGAAAGAAGCAGACCCCCTCCCACTACTCCCTCATTGAGCAGGGAGCCAGACGCAGGACTTGATTCCAGGACCCTGGGATCCTGACCTCAGCCAAAGGCAGCCACTTAACTGACTGAGCACCAGGTCCCCTCTTCCTTATGATTTTCTTAATAATGTTTTCTCTAGCTTACCTTATCAGAAGAGTACAGTATATAATACATACGACATACAAAATATGTGCTAATCGACTGTTCATGTCACCGGTAGGGCCTCTGGTCAACAGTAGACTATTAAGTTTTGGGCGATTCCCGAGTTATACTTGGATTTTCAACTGCATGAGGGTCAGCGCTCCTAACCCCCATGTAGGTCAAGGGTCATATGTCTTCTTTTTTTTTTTTCTTTCCATATTTTAAATTTGATTTTTAAAAAAAAAAAAAACCATTTTGTTTTTTAGCCGTGCTATCAAGACTAATCAAGACCTTCTCCCCGAAACTCCATGGACACACATTTTCTACAATGATTTTTGGGGGACTCTTCTAACCCACAGCGGCAGCCACAAATCCTACCGGCCCCTGTGCACTCTTTCTTTTCGCCTGAACCATGCCGTCGGAGGCCTGAATCCTTGGAGCTATCACCTGGTCAATGTCCTGCTGCACGCGGCCGTCACAGGTGTCTTCACGAGCTTCTCCAAGATCCTCCTTGGGGATGGATACTGGACCTTCATGGCCGGCTTGATGTTTGCCTCTCACCCCATTCACACGGAGGCAGTGGCGGGAATCGTGGGCAGGGCTGACGTCGGGGCCAGTCTCTTCTTTCTCCTGTCCTTGCTGTGCTACATGAAACACTGTTCTACGAGAGGCTACTCAGCCCGGACTTGGGGCTGGTTCCTGGGGACGGGGCTTTGCGCAGGCTGCAGCATGCTGTGGAAGGAACAAGGAGTGACGGTGCTCGCCGTGTCCGCAGTTTATGACGTCTTTGTCTTTCACAGGCTGAAAATGAAACAGATCTTACCTGCCATCTATAAAGTAAGTGATTATTGGTGCTCGAGCATTGGGTTACTGAGCAATTCTGCTTGCCTGGTCCTTTTTACCCCATTTAAAAAGCAAATTTGTTCCTCTTCAAAGAGAAGCTGGAAGAAGTTACGTTTTGGTCTTCAGTAAGTGGAAGTGTCCTTTTCGACCTTTCCCTCCTGACATGCGTTTCATTCACGGATTTATTTCTTGGATGTCCTAACTTATTTTCATGATTTCAAAGAGGGTAGAAGGGCACTTTTGCCTGGTAAAGATTAGGCAATCTTTGTTTTTATTCATTCTTTATTTCAGCCCAAATTCTCTGTAATCCAGTAGATTGCCTGTAATGTGTATTTGTAAAAATATCAGAGCGGGTAATAGAGCCAGATGCTAAACTCTACAGAGGGGAAATCCTCTGCCATTTGTTAATAGTATTTTCCTGACCCGACTTTGGAAAACAGCCCTTCTCTGTAGGGCCATGGGAACTCAAATTCTTCAACAGTGAATCATCTTCACCTTTTTCCTTGTTGTAATGAATAAGAATAGAAGAATCAAAGCAGAAAGAGGTTATTATAGGTTTTGCCCTGAGGCCAATTAAGACCTTTGCCTCAGGGCTTAATATTTGCTCTTCTGTATTCCCTTAGTGGTTTCAAACGCAATATTGTCTGAAGGTCACAGAAGTGCAGAAGTGCTTTCAGATCCCATCTACCTAAAGAGAACCAGTTTTTGGCTAGTGTGTTAAGGGAAGGCATTGGGCAGACAGAGGTGTGTTGAGAAACTGTCTCCTTCTCCATTTCTCTCTCATTCATAATAAACTTGCCCTAGCTCTGCCTTTTAGTGTAAGGTGTGAACTTGACCACTGTTTGCAAACCTTGGTCATGTTTTAGGCCAGCTCCTCTTTCCTTTTGGACACTTACGTGAGGAGGTATGGTTTTGGATACTTACCCTGATCAGGAATGCTGTCGAGTTTACTAGTTCTGGTGACTTTTTCCCCTGCCCCCTACCCTCAATTCTCAATTTTATTTAAAATCAAACTGGGAAGAAATTGAAGTGAAAGGAAAAAATTGAGGGAAATAGAAACATTTATTATTACTAGTACTTTTAAATGACTATTTTTTTCCACTTAGTAGGCAGGGTAATTACTGCTACACTTCTGTGAGGAAGCATAACCCTTTCAGTTGGAACTTAAGTATCCAGTGGTTAATGAAGTTCTTTTGTGATTTCAATTATATGCTGAACCTGTAAAAGAAAACTTTGGTTGGGTCGAGTTTGATGCCTAAAAAAGATGCAGTTTGAAAGGTAAACTCTTAATTTCAAATCCATTTTAACTATTTGTTCAGGAAAATTTAGGGAGAGAAATTTTTTTTTTTGTTTTTGTTTTAAAACCGTATCAACAACAATGGCAAGCTTTCTTGATTTTCTGGAAATAGTAGATAGAATACATATAAATCATGGTCCTTGTCCCTGTGGGAGAGAGGCCTAGTTAGGACATAGACGCTCTGTGTTTCAGGACTTCGCATCGATAACCTGTGAAACGTTGTGGTTCAACATTGTACAGAATTTCCACTTTACTGTCTCATGAATTAGGAAATTATTTTGGTATATCAACTCAGGACTTGCATTTATGACCTTCTGAAGTTCCTTTCTAAGAAATTTTCAGTTCTCTAAGCGTATTTTCAAGGACAGAGTTGCTGATAGAGATCCTTATTATACCTGTGTCCCATACAGTATTTGGGACATAGCTGTAATAAGAAATTATTCTTTGTTTATCCAAAATTAAAATGTAACCAAGCGTCATGCTTAAGAAAATGAGAAACGTCACCAGCAAAGGAACTAGCCATAGAGAGTGAAGTCCCCCCTCCCCGTGCCATGGGAAAGGACTTAACACTTTGAAAATTCAGTGTCCTGAGAAGTTTCCAAATGGAAACTTGCCTAGACTGTCTGGCAGCCACTGCATGTGGGCAAGGGAAGTAGTCGGGGCAGCAAAAACACTTCATCTGGGAGTTGGTATCTCAAGCCCACTCTTTCTTTCATTCTCAGGTTTTGGGCCAATGAGCTTAGAGAGAACATTTTGGTAACAGATTGTATAGATTTTCAAGGGACTATAGAGATCATCTATGGCATTCCCCTTATTTCCAGCTAAGGTGTACAGACCAGAGATGTGAAAGTCACCCAGAAAATGGGAGAATCACTAGAACTAGAACACATATTTTGTGTGTGTCTAGCGATGATTTTACTATATCGTAAAGGTGTGAAGATGAATGAACAGATGTAATGTCAGATGACTTCCTTAGAAGAAAATAGAATGGAATCAAATATTAACTCATACTGGCTGAGTAACCTTGGGCTAGTTGAATGACCTGCTTCTTTATCTGGAAATGGAGATCATGAGTGTTCTCTCATAGAGGTGTTGTGAAGATTATATGAAATTGTGGGGCGTCCAGTGTGAGCTGGGTGCCCGGTGTTTGGAAGGCACCTGATGCATATTAGTTGAGAGAAAGAAGAATATTAATGGAAATTATAGTTCTTTATTTTAAGGAAGAGAAGGCCAAAAGATAAACTGCTGTTTGTCTTTAAACATACAGTGCTTTTGAAAGCATATGAATTAGGAATCGACCAAAGCTGAAGCATGAATATTTAAGCAAAAACTTTCATTTAGAATTTTATGACTATGGGCTTGTAAACACTAGCACAGATTACATATGGAAGTTATAGAAAATTCCATATTCTGTCTTTATAATATATAGATTTCTATGCCTGGGGTGAGTTAGAAGAGACTCTGAAGGAAGTGAATTAAAAGACTTTAGAAGGTCCTTTTCAACCTTAAAAGAATAAATCATCTTAAATATCTTACCAATTAACTCCGGATCATGGTTTGCCAGATGAAATAAACTTCCCTGCCCTATTAAAACACAGCTTTTATATAAACAGAAAACTCTAGTGCACAAATGTTTAACTCTATTATGCAAAGCAGTGAACTAGCCAAGTACTCAAATCCCAAAATGGCAGTCCTCTTAAAGCTGGAAATTATTAAGACCAGAGGGGCAAGGCTCTCTGTTCTTATAGTTTTGTCAGTAATGTTTTTCTCATAGCAGTAACACTCAGCTTCATTCTTCACAGTGTTGGTTTCAATTCTGTACCTCTTAAAAGATCCTGGCCCCCAAACTCAAATGTGCACCAGGACCAGGCAGAAGGGACTGGTGGAAGCAAGATTATGCCCACCTTGGGGATTCCTCTTCATCCTATTATTGCAATAAGAAAATACAGGTTTGCATTTGGGAGAGTTGAAGAGTTCCCTAAGAAGACAGACCTCTGGATTTTTCAGTGACACTTTTTTTTTAAAAAAAGATTTTATTTATTTATTTGACAGACAGAGATCACAAGTATACAGAGAGGCAGGCGGGGTGGGGGGGAAGCAGGCTCCCCACTGAGCAGAGAGCCCCATGCAGGGCTCGATCCCAGGACCCTGGGATCATTACCTGAGCTGAAGGCAGAGGCTTAACCCACTGAGACACCCAGACACCCTTCAGTGACATTTATTATTATTTACTATTGGTTACTGATTTAAAGACAAATCCTGTTTGGGCCAGACAAAATCCTTGGGATGGCTGAATTTGGCCAGAATTCTTGGCTGCCATTTTTTTTTTTTTTTTTTTTTTTTACTTCTAAGATTGATGCAGATGATGCACATCTTTATATTATGTGAAAGGCTTTTGCATTTCTGCAAAGGAAATATGTAAGTTTTCTATTTCGTGGAAGTATGTGAAAAATAGTAGAGACCTGGCATACTGTAGATATTTTATTTAGTATTTAATAAACACTTAGAGTCTTTATGTGCTAGCCACTATTCTGAATATGCAAAAAACATAAACACAGTTAACTTATATAATAAGTGCTTATTGAGATAGTATGACTTACAGAAAAATATGGTTGAATACGACATGAAATAATACAGTAATACAGTTGTCAATAGTTAGGGGGGATTTGTAAGAAAACACCAAATATAATATCTTCAGAAACATTTATGAACAAAATGAATGTTCATAGCCATCTTAAAATGTTTAAATGTTCCTAGTACTTAGCGTCAGCATTCTATTTAAGGTGTTTTCTATATTATCTTTGGCATCTAGTGCACCATCTGGCACGTAGTAGGTACTCAGGATATTATCGAATTCACACTTTTTTCAGATTTGTCTTGGAAAAATATGTGCCTGAAATGTTAAAGTAAAATCCTTTCCTCTTCCCTTTGTACAGTGAGGATTTCATTTCATAGTGGGGTCTGGAGGGTAGAATTGGAAGAAATACATGTCAGAAAAATGTTGAAAAATAAGTTCTTGCCTTTTGATCAAATGATTATTTTACCCTTTCTTAGATGACTTTCACTTACTTAGTTTTATATGGTCAAAAGTAAGAGGGAGCGGTGAGGAACCCTTGAAACACACTTAAACTAGCCTTGCAAATAAATGCTTGACTTTTATCTGCCCACAAAATTTTTTACAAGTCTCCCATGATCCCGGGAGGTACATGGGTAATAAAATCAGCAAAAGCAACATTTTTCTTACTTACCAAACATCAGTCATTACTTGCCTAGTGGCCATTTTCTGTGCTTATTTAACATCTGTTAACTGTTTTAATGTGGAAACATCTTTTTTCCCTTTATTAGCCTCATAATCACTTATTCGGTTACAGGTGGAAAAAAAAAAGGAAATCTGAAAACCAGTGTAACAATTCTAATAATAGCCCAAATTGATTTAGAAAAATGAAGCCCTTCTCGTTTGATCTTTTAAGAATATCTATAAAGATGACCACGTCTGTTTTGCTAAAGTTGCTTCTAAGATGTACATTATACAGACAACTTCCTTTGCTTAAAATTAAATTTTGTAGTGCTGTTTCACGTAAACAAAATGAAAAGACAATATTATGAGAGAGGAAATGGGAAGGCATTGCCACTTTTGGAAAACGAGTCAACTCTGTCTAGAAATAACTTTTTAATTTTATTTACTTATTTATTTCTA